GCGGTTCTTCGGAACATGTATCGAACGGCTGTAGAAGTAAGTACTGGCGAACAAGAACGTTTTGAATCGAAACAGCCGGCAGCAGAAATTGCGCGTAGTAACGGCTATACGCATGTCTAAAGACTCAAAAATCACGATGTACGATTCGTAGCCAAACTATACGCGACGACAAGAACAAAATCCCACTTTGCGTACCTTTTATCTCCGACAAAGTAAGTGCGGCTATGAGACAGTGCATTGTTCGAGCACAACTGCAGAATGATGTTATGCTGGTGAATATCCTGAATGATAGTATCAGGAAGCAGTTATTGCGAAACAGGTTATACGACGTAGAATGCATTTCAGACCAATGTATTGTTTGCCCACACGGAAAAGTAGGAGATTGCGCGAAGTGGGCAGTTGTATATCAATTAGAATGTCTGAGCTGTAAAACTTCATATATAGGCGAGACAGGCAGAGCGTTGAGCATCAGAGCCAGAGAGCATCTAGCCGACAAAAGACGTGGGAATTTGGTATCACCGTTAGGCAAGCACAAGTTCGAAGCACACAATGGCGCAGAATTTGACGTGAAATGTATAATCTTAGCTCACGAAACTGAAATTTCTGCGAGAAAAACCTTGGAAGCCTTGTGGATTTCTATCAAGTGTCCAAGCATCAACAACAAGAATGAATGCCTGACGATGACTGATGATCTTTTGCCCTTCCTATCATTATGCGAGCAGTAGCCCTATATATATAAAGACGTGACACACGAGTAACACTCAGTGCCGTCCGTCTACAACATCAGTGTGCGGCTACCGTCCGGTACTTCGGTGCGGACTACCAACATCGATATCGCGGTGGATCGAGGGTTGGTTTCTTTTTCAACGTGAATCTCAGTACGTTGTGCATGGGACAACGTCTAGACTCGATGAGTACGGGGATGGCGTTTGGCGGCGTAGTCTCACAGATCAAAACTGCAATCTTCTTTCAGGCCTCCGAAGAAGACGAAACGTGTCGAAACGTAAGGCAATAAAAGATTCACCGTAATTTGGGCTCGGCAAAACATCAACATATTCATGAAAATGGAGATTGTTAACGCAAGGTGACTATCTGCTTGGGTTTATGAGTACTATATACTATACTATACTATTATACTATGAGTTTCGGAAAATACTTATAGACACCATACAGACATAGGCACGAAGGCACGTAATGCACATGTCTTATTTCAGCAGTGCAAGTGCTGCTTACTTACTCAGTCTATTCTAATGCAGCTCTGATTATGAATGTGAGTCCACCTAAAAAAGGCACAATCAAGTCTTTATCGGTGATTCGATTTGTCTCTATGACTTGGGTAGCAGCAGGACATATTTTAATGCAAGATGTGATAGGCGGTCAGTCATTACTTTTACACATTTTTGTCGAAATAAATTATCCCTATAATTGCTAACGATTTCAGACAGCGTTTTACCAGTGTTCACTGTGTGGGATGCTTCTTTGTCAAATACGATCACGAACGGATTTTTCTCAGTAGACACATTTTTTCTTTTATCCGGACTTCTTGTAACATATATATTCTTCAAATCGAAACCAAAAGCCAAATTTGTGAAGAATCCGATGGTTTGGGTGATGTTCTACGTGCACCGTTATCTCAGGTAAGCCTCTTAGAAGTGGATCACAAAATTTGAAGAGTTTTTTCTATAGTATGTACTCAAAGCAGGTCTTACTTGGCACACGAGAAAATTGAGTATTCGTTTCAAGAGCAGAAGCAAAAGGGTCAACACATTAACCAAAACTTGAACAAATTTGTATGTTTCTGTTTCGCCAAAGTTTTCAACCGTCTGCAGTATCAGATAGTTCTTACATGCAAAATACGCTGTGTGATCGAAACGTTTACAAATTGCAACCATGAACACTGCATAAACTGACTGCGTTTGTTATTTTCATAATCTTTTTTCTCCAACCTTTTCCGGAAGATGCTATCAATGAATTAAATCGAATTAGTTGAAACTTGGTTCTTCTAGACTTACACCTCCTATAATGATGTTTGTTGGATTCTACGCAGTCTTAGATCCTTTTATTAACGGCCCATGGGTTCAAGCAAACATGGATTTCATCGCAGGATCAGTAGAAATGTGCAAAAAATACTGGTGGCGCAATGCGCTGTATATAAATAATTTTTTTCCTGCTGCAGAGGTACTCTACTCATAATCATTCAAAAATATAATAAATAATAAATAGCTTTTTAGACTTGTTATATTATAACTTGGTATCTTGCCGTTGACACTCAGCTCTATTTTATAACTCCGGTATTCATCATAGCGCTGTTCATTTCTCCTATATTTGGTAAGAAATGCGTCCACTAAACACAAATTTGCTGAGCAAATCGACGACTTTAGGATTATTGTTACTTCTTGTCTGTGTCGCAGCAAGTGTCGGATATGTGTACGCTATGACCATCAAAAACTCCTTACCTGCTATCGTCTTCGGAATCCCTTGCTTTGAGTGAGTAAAAGAATTGCCACGGGAGCAGTTGAAGTTACCGTTTAAGAAAATTTTGGGACTTCTTTACCGACCAGTACGAGAAGCCCTGGACTCGTTGTCCACCTTTCTTGGTAGGATTGGCTGCGGGTTATATACTAGCATTGGGAAAGAAACCAAGGTTAAACAAAGTGCGTTTCCATAGTATTATGCAACAATCATGACTATATGTGTTGCAGTTTTTCATTGTACCACTTTGGATATTAGCGGCTGCAGTCGCGCTAGCCTCACTCTACGGTTCTCAAAATTATCAAGCAGGAAATGATGCATGGAGGTGAGAAGCACTATTGCACTAACAAGGAAAGACTAGCTAGTTGGAGCGGGTTTTCGTGATGAATTTTGTATTGCTTTGAAGGGCGTAGCTTTGATGTGCATTCCTATTTTTGCGGGTTTCTGGGCGAATAGAGTTTTTAAGAGCAAAAATTGAATGCGCATTTAACAAGGAATGTGTTATTGGGTAAAGTGGCCTTTTCGGTTGAGGTTTATACCATTTTGTAGAGAATCAGTCCCTGATTTCAAGTCTCCTTAGTATCTACTGCGCGCCTTTGGACGCCGAGTTATGAGTGCTTTTAGACCAAAAAATGTACGAATAAAATCACTCATTACGGTTTTGCAGCGAAAACTCAAAAATGAAAAGACTTATGGGACAACCTTATAGTCAAAAACTACATATTGCGTAAAGTGCTTCTATTCCTAGCACTGGCTCATTTGAACAATTTTGAATCTTGCTTTAGCACGCGTTCATTTTTTGTTCGAATCAAAACGTTCATAACTCGGCGTCCAGAGGCGCACAGCAGATACTGAAGACAGCTTTGAAATTACCGCGTTGTTCTTCAAAACCATACAGATTTCATTTGGAAAGGCACTTCGACTGAAAGCTTTCGCTGTAAGGTGAAATCAGTCGCGACATTCTTCTTACAATTAAAGCTCGAATGAGACTCGGTAACTGTCGCATCACTCTGTGCAATGATATTCTTTTTAACAATGCACTCGCCGCTGCTTCATATGAACGCTAAAAAAGCTAACGACTCATTGAATTCAACCTGTCGAAAGCTTTCTGTTAACTGCGATGCTACTAAAAGGTCTCGGTTGTATACTGAGCTATTCGGCAATGTCGCAGTCGTCACGCAGTATGGCGATCCGTTGTTTTTCAAAGATCTAAAGCGATTTTAGATCTATAGGCGCATGATTTTTGTGAGCTCGTGCAAATATGTGATTTTTCTTAAAAGTGTGTATGCAAAAAATTAGGAGTAATCGTATTAGGTTGTCAAGAAAATAATGTCGTTTTATATTTGCTTGCTTTGACAAAGCAACCAGACTCAACTCAACAAAGGTTAAGGGAAACTGTTCGATAGAGCAAAGCAAGCTCTACAAGGTGGCGTTCATGATTTTGCGCTAAGCTCGATCCACGGTAAGTTCGAACTCAAAATCTGAAGATTTCCAAATGCTCAAAAAATCGAAAAAAAATCAGACCTTCGTCCAAATAATTTCTACAGAACTCCCACTTGCAAACGTCAATACTTTTGATATCTGGTATCCATATTTGCAGTTGCTGTACTTTTTTTTGACTAGAAACTGAAAGAACGAAAATTTTTGTGTTTTTCTAAAGCAGTGCTGAGCCGTTTTTGCATATGTGATTCTATACTACAAGCCTAGGTTAGTATTTAGAATTTCAGCCCATTCCGAGCAGTAGTTTTCGAGAAACATCGAAATCAGCTTTCTTTTTTTCAGTTTCAGTGCTTATATGCAAGAACGGCTCAGCATTGCTTTTAGAAAAAAACGAAAATTTTCGTTTTCTCAGTTTCTAGTCAAGAAAAAGTACAGCAGCTGCACATATGGATACCAGATATCAAAAGTATTGACGTTTGCAAGTGGGAGTTCCGTAGAAATTATTTGGGAAGGTCTGATTTTTTTTCGATTAGCATTTGGAAACCTTCAGATTCTAAGTTCGAACTTTCCGCGGATCGAGCTTAGCGCAAAATCATGAACGCCACCTTGTGGAGCTTGCTTTGCTCTATCGAACAGTTCTCCTTAACCTTTGTTGAGTTGAGTCTGGTTGCTTTGTCAAAGCAAGCAAAAACGACTAGAAAATTATTTTCTTGACAACCTAATAGTAATCCAAATTGTGCTGCGATTAGAATCGAGTTAAATCAGTGCCTGAGAAATAGAAGGCTCGCAGTGAACTTTAAAGCCAGCGTCCCGGCAAATTCTGCATCCCACCTTTCTACATGTTACAGCTTTTTTCCACACTCAGAACCCAAAATCTGAGCTTCAAACCGGGTGAAAAGACCGTTATTGAACGTTTACCATTTCCCAAAAAGCAGGGAAGAGAGTCTCAATGGAAAGTTGGAGGCCCTGACACGAAAATCCTGCGACTGTGAGTTTGTTTGGATGGCATGCACAATGCGAGAACGCTCGTGCCTTCCCACCCGTTACAGGTAAGAAAACCCGTCCAAGCGCGCGTCGTTGTGAACGCTATATTCTCGGCGCAGAGCAGTGGCGTACCGAGGGGGGAGGGCGCCCCCCCCCCCGAGAATGGGTCACAAAATTTTTGAAAGTTACTTACATAAGTTATGAAAATGTGCAAATCCCCCCTAAAATTTTTCGGAGTGCGTGGCTGACGCCACGCACCTTCATTTGAAGATTTTTGCCGCCCCCCCCCCGAGCCGAAATCCTGGGTACGCCACTGGCGCAGGGGTATGGTCCCTAGTGGACGTAGAGCACGTCGATTGCGGCAGAGCGCGGCACCCGCAACCCTCAATCTCAAATAGTTTTTTGTGTTTTCCGAGGTTTATTTTTATTTTTTGAACGTAAGTCTTTTCATTTAGGAACAAAAATTTCATTGTGTTTGAGCAATGTTTCGAGCTGCTGTGCGGGTAGAGGACAATAGGTAGCCGAAAGGGGCGGTCCGTCCCATGCGGGCATTTGCAACAAACATTGCGCCTCCACCATTACTGCCGCATGCTATTTGTCCGAGTGGGTGGAGCCTAATGTCCTCTATCCCTGCTGTGCTTGTTTTTCAACTCTGAATTCAGATTAAACTTGGAGAAACGAAAAGTTCAAAAACTGTGTTAGTGAAATCTTTCTTCAGTAAACAACGTGCCTCAAAGTGTTGTTTCATTAAACTTCATGTCAACTCCCCATGTTCATCGTTTTCCAACGTCACCTGAAAAGAGAACTGAAGAAACGAGCTTAGTAGTATGAAACATCACATGACAAACTCGTCGATTCTCACCACGAAGTGATAGAAAAAATCACCATGCAACGACGAGAATATATAAAAGAATATTGCCTGAGTTTGAAATGGATATGAGTGCCGCGCTCTGCCGCTACCGGCATGCTCTAGTTTAAATTCAAATCTGTCCACTAGGTGTCTAGTGGGGGGAGGACGACTATAACATCAAGCAGCCGGACTGGCCTTAAAGGTTATTGGGGTGACAAGGGACCCCACCACAGCTGTATCCCACAGGGCGAGGTCTGCTGGGACACTGCTTTTAACACAGTGACGGCCGCTTAACACACCATTTGTGTGAAGCAATGACTACCCGTGGGACCACTTGACACACATGGTGTGTTAAGCGACTATCTCAGTACAAACTCATTCCAGAAGTTTTCTTTTGCTGTGAATCTAGAAGTGACCTCTATCTTCTTTGTCAGCCTCCCACAACTACTGTAGGTATACTGTAGATGGCAGCATGCGTGATATTATCTGAAAAATGCTAACTGGTCCGTGAAAGATTTTTCCGAAAAGGTAGACAATAAAGAATTAGCGTTGTCATCAATCTGTTAACGATCCTTCAAAAAATTAGGTGGTCTTTGCCACTACGTTTACAATTCGGCTTAGAATTAACGTTTTCAATGTCTTGGTATCGTCTTGTCTTTAACGCATGTTGGGCGGAGCATTTGCAGACATTTGAACACGTTGATGAACTTGTCAAACTCTATTGCAAAGTCAGAACTGCCATATGCTGTTGCCACGTAGCATTTTTTAGCGAGAGATTACAAAAAACAGTGCCTTGCATTAGAGGGTCAACAAGTTCACCAACGTGTTTAATTCTCTGCAAATGCTTCGCCTAACGACATCGGGGAGGCGACAACACAAGAGCGAAGAAATCTGCAAAAAAACGCGCGACAAATTTTGAGTCATGATCAGGGTCAAGCAAGGGGCGTGGCACACGATCGCTGGTTACGACCCCACTCCCTGATTGCTGTCTTAATAAGACCCCCCCCGAATTACATACCTAAGATAGCATTACCTGAAGGCCCTGCCAAACATAATGGGTAACATATCCATAATGAGCATGTCAATTAACCCCTGTAGACAAAGTTTGAGCGAATTCTGAAGATTCAAGATACTAGGCTACCTAAGTTAAATAGTCATTTTCCAAGATGATTAACTTTGTTTCAAAGGTGAATTAGCTATCCGATTTTGCACTCTAGACAAAACACTGCTCCTTCTTTGTCCATCTCAGAAATCTTGCTTCAAAAGACCTCCAAACTGTAGAATTAGAAGCCAACCAAAATCTCATTTTCCTCATTTTTCGCTTTTAATGGCTGTGCTTTCACCAAATTTTACTCAGAGCTAAAAAGACGAATCAGGCTTAAAACATTTCTATGGAATCTACGAGGTTTAGGCTATCGATTCATATAAACATTGTTCACTAAATTGTTTTTTTTATATAGTTAATGGGGTGTGGCACGCCCCCCCCCCTTAAAAGCTGTGGCTGCCACTGCCATTAACTATATTAAAAAAACAATTTTAGCGGACATTATTTATATGAATCAATAGCCTAAACCTCGTAGATTCCACAGGAATGTTTCAAACCTGATTCGTCATTTTAGCTCTGAGTAAAATTTGGTGAAACACAGCCATTAAAAGCGAAAAATGGGAAAAATGAGACTGTTGGATTCTAATTTCACAGTTTGGAGATCTTTTAGAGCGGGATTTCGGAGTTGGACAAAATAGGGGAGTGCTTTGTTTCTCAGTGCAAAAACGGGTAGCTAATACACCTTTGAAACAAAGTTAACCATGTTGGAATACGATCATTTCACTTAGGTAGCCTAGTATCTTGAATCTTCAGAATTCGCTCAAACTTTGTCTACAGGGGTTAATTGACGTGCTAATTATGGATATGATACGAATATCATGTTATCACTATTATCAGATTACCCAACTACAACCTCCTCCCATTTTGACTCCAGTATGACTCCCCAGGTGTGGCGTGCCACATCCCACGCCTGACCCTGGTCGATTCATGTAAATTTTGTAGATCA